ATTTCCACATCTTTATTTGCCCGCTATTTTTTTGATACTTTCAAAAAAAATTGTACTATAAAATTACCTTGTACAACTTTGAAAATTTACTTTCTCTATAGTCATTCTATAAAGTAGTATGAAATTTGTTCGAAATTAAAATTGAAAAATAAAAAATTATCAGTAATTTTAATTTGTTTACAAATTAATTTAGTCTTACTTTTAAATAATTAATTTATTTTAGAAAATAAGGTATACTTTATACATTTTTTTTAAGATAATTAGGTCGATTAAAATAAATTTGTACTATTAATTCTTTTGTGCGGATACAGAACGTCATCTGGAGATCAACCAGAATACGTCACATCAATCCTTCACTACCACAGCTCGATATCACTAACATGACACATCCTAATTAATCTCTAGATGACGTTCTAGGTCCGTCCTTCGCACAAAATAATTTCTAAAATTATACACCATATCATATAAATAAACTTGGAATAGTTAAAGTTTATTGATAGTTAAAATTTAGAATCACCCACCGTTGCTTGTCTGGGTGGTGAAGAGCTGGTTGGGCAAAGCCTAGGTCCCTAATTCGAATCCTTTGGCAAGCAGTAAAAACCTTAAGTATTAGTCTATATAAATTGATGTGGATTACATGCTAGATCGACCGGATTTTCACTGGCCTAAATACCGTGCTGCAAAAGGTACAATATGAAGTAATAAAAAAATTGTAGTGGCTAGTTTTATTGATTGCGGTGTGTATGGGGGTTAGGAGAACCAGTACTGTACCTTCCGAACGAAGCAGCACGCAAGATCTGCATATGGTAAAACTCATATGCACAAGTCTACACTCATGTTTTTCATTATAACTAGCTAAGATAGCCAGTACAGCTTTTAAGATTTGAGCTGTTAGATGTTTGCAATAAATGCAGTTCTACCCTTATCTGTTAAGGCTTAGGGTTTGTTTGCAATTACTTTAAAAAAAAAAATTGCAATTTCTTTCTCATTGTTTATAATTTAATTTGGTATTGATTTTTCATTATTTTTTAAGAATTTTTTATGATGAGATGTTTTTTTTTTTTTTTAATTAGAGTTGTTATTGATTTAAAAATTAAAATTTTGAGTATTAAATTAATTATAAATATTAAAATTTAGATTTTATGTGAGGTAGATGCATATAAATCCCCCAAAATTCTATAATGCCACAACTTCCACAGACTTTTTTCTCTCAAACTATTTTTTACACGATGCTACAGACATTCCAAAAACTCCTGAAATACACGACAGAACGAATTGAAAGCGAAACAAGCAGCTGTTGGTGGCCCTTCACTATTGGCTTTAGCTTTTGACTCAATCAATAAATAATATGCTGTGCTAAATTTCGTCTTCAAAAGCAGCTTTTTAATACAAAATTAAAAAAGCTACTTTAAAAAGAAAAAAGAATGCCGTCCCAAGCGAAGCCTTAATCGCATATCTGAAATACCTTTATATAACATATTTAGACTTCTTTTGGGGCAGCTTTATTACCGCTTCTTAAAATAATTTTTTATAAGTCATCTCAAACGAAGCTTTACTTACTCCTTTTAATAGTCATATCATGTAAACTGTTCAAGCAAAGTCAGTTCAAACAGCAATCATTTTAGACAAGAATGTATCTATGTTAATCATAAGGTCAAAAGAATAAAGTTCAACAGGTGAAACTATTAAAGTAAATCAGTAACTTCTGTGCAGGTGGAGTTCTACAACCAGCAATTTCCAGAGCAAATGCAAACAGTGGCAGGCTCCCTTTTCTATTGCAGCCTGGCCGGCGCCGGCTATCTCAGCAGCGTACTCATTGCTGTCATACAAAAGGCCACTGGCCGGAATGGCAGGAACAGTTGGCTGGCCGGAGATATCAACTCCGGCCACCTCGACTACTTCTACTATGTCATAGCAGTTATGGGTATGGTGAACTTTCTTTACTTCTTAGTATGTGCACATTTCTACCGTTATAAGGGGATGCAGAAAGAAGAGAAGCTGGGTGGTGGTGGTGGTGGCCTGCAGGAGCTGGCTGAGGAAGCTTTTGTTAGGGAAAAGGAAGACAATGGGGTGAAGGAGTAATGAGATTTTGAAACTTTTTAAGTTTGGATAGAAATATGTTTGTCAGTATATATATATCTTCATGAATCTTAATTATTGTGGGGGTATGATTGATCAGCTAATGTACAGACCTACTTGCCTGGCTTTTTATCATTTTATTTTATGGTTGTTTGCTTTTTTATTTTTTGATATATATTTCTCTTCTTGATAAGTTGGTTTGGGTGGAAAACTAGTGAAGTGGTTCATGAAGCTGAAGTGAAAAGTTGTTGGCTTTTTTTGGTATTTCATTTATAAAGAGCTTATAAAATACATTCCTTGTGATGTGTCATAGTGTTTGCTACCTACATATGACATAAATTTAATGAGATCTTTTGTTTAATAAGTTATAATTAGAATAATTGAGGATATTTAGAACTAAGAGGTTTAGTATTAGTATAATAAAGATTATATATTGTTGAGGGCTTAAGTTCTATATACTCTCAAGCTTGAAAGTTCTCAACATTGACCATCATTTATCATTAGAATGAAATTTTATTAATAACAAGGGTCGTATTTTAATCATCCAGGGAATTCTTATCATAAAATTGTACGTTGTATTCTAACCAGTCAAGAAATTATTCAAATCATTTCGAGTTTAACTTAGGTGCAGTATTTCCTATTATTGTCTGAGGAAAATGATAATTTTTTGGTACAAGGATATTGCTCATACATGATTTGATATAGAGATGTTGCTATATGAAATAACTTGAGTCCCACCCTAAGTTATATGGGGATCCACCCCTAGCCGTGCACCAAAGTTCAGTCAACCTGTTATGGCACAATGACAATCAATACTATATTTTGAGCTTTGTTTATAACTATGGTTAAAGACCACCAAAACCTTTGGCCCAAATAGATTGAACAACTAGATCTTGACTAAATCATTGGCTTTGATACAATTGTTAGGAGGATGTAACAACATGACCCTAGTTTAGCCATTCATCAATCCAAAAACTAAATTTATGGGATATAATTCTTAAAATAGTATGTAGCAAACACAATGAATCAGGTTCACAACAAACATAGAAATGCTTCAAAGAACTATGCAAAAAGGGAATTAATTACAGAAAGGCAAAAAACTCAATTTTATAAATTGGTAAGTTAAAACAACAATGTTAAATACATCAACTATTGGTTGTATAGCAAATTTGAGTGTTTTATGCGGATATATGACAAAAGCAGCAACAACAACAACAACAACATCAAGCCTTTATCCCACTGCGTTGGGTCGACTACATAAATCATTTTTTTTTCCTTTGTCCTATTAAGAGTCTAAAAGTTTTAGTTTTAGTAGATCTAAAGCTGAATATTTTAATTGTAATTTCAGTAATAATAGATCTAGTGGATGATTGTGACTTTGGGCAATCAAGTCATTAATAAGAGTACACATTCAAGATATCTTGGGTCTATTGTTCAGAGTGATGTTGAAAGATGGGGATATTATTAGTAGAATTCAAGTTGGGTGGTTGAAGTGGAGGAATGCATCAGGTTTGTTGTGTGATAGAAAAGTACCCCTCAAACTTAAGGAAAAATTCTATAAGATGTTGGACAGACCTGCAATGCTTTATGACGCAAAATATTGGCCATTAAAAGACAAGCGTAATATTAAGTTAAGTGTTGCAGAGATGAGGATGCTCAGGTGAATGAGTGACTTTACTCTTAGAGATAGGATACGAAATGAGCATACACGTGAAAAGATTGAAGTAGCTCTAGTGGAAGATAAGATCAGCAAGAGTTGCTTTAGATGATTTGGTCACATAAAACGGCCTTCCACTGACCCGGTTAGAAAAATAGATGTATTATATTTAAATGAGAATTTGACTCTTAACAAGACACAATCGAGAAAAAAGATTCGAGTAGTCAATCCCACGTAGTGGAATAAAGGCTTGAGATGCTGTTATTTTTGTTGATTTGTCCTGTTAAGAGTCAAATTCTCATTTTAAATCTAATTAAAAAATGTCATTTCTAATATTTTTTAACCAAACCTTTTTAGATCTACCTCTACCTTTCTTAACATTGATCAAATATAATACATCTACTTTCCTAAGTGGGTCATTAAAAGGCCGACATTTTATGTGACCAAACCATTTAAGACGACTCTCTCTAATCTTCTTTACTATTGAAGCTACTCCAAACTTTTCACATATATGCTCATTTCGCATTCTATCTCTAAGAGTAAAGTCACTCATCCACCCTAGAATCCTCATCTCAGCAATACTTAACTTAATTGTATGTTTGTCTTTTAATGGCCAACATTCTGCGCCGTAAAGCATTGCATGTCTCATCACCATCTTATAAAATATATGACAAAACTACCAAAGATAAATATAACTATTCAAGAAGATGGTTAGGAGTAGCAGCTATTGATTCAGATTGAGAAATTTTAAAGTTTGGATCATTCAGGCGTATACAACAAAGGACGGCAAATGCACAAATAATGATGAATATAAAACTAATGTGAAAGTACTAAAAATAAGAGCAATAATAGAAGGTTACATGGGTATAAATCGAGTAAAATATATGTGCATGTGTGCATATATATCAGAAAGGGAAAGCTATGTTAAGGATATCTAAGTTTATATCTTGGTATAAAACTGAATACCCAGTGATTTCATATTACAAAGCCAGAGAGCACAAAATTTTCATAGAAATCATAGCCTTCTTATACTTCAGAGACATTGTGTTATTTAACCATCTATTTTAAGCTTTCATATAAAGCATATAAGTACTAAAATAAAACAGCACATTATCAGCAGACATGTATGATCTCATGATTTCTTAGATCGCTTCTAATGGGGTCTGGGAACCACTAGAATAGGCTTCTGCATAGAACCACAAATTTTCCTCCTTGACATGTTGAAAAGATGTAATCTGTCAGCTAACCTTATAAATCTATCTAATGTTGGCTTTGCAAAGCAATATTTAAGTTAAATGAGTCAGTTCATCCATTATCTACATTTATGCACAGTACTGCTATTTATATCATTCAATTCAGTCATTTTCTTCCAGAAGTCATAAGGCAATATATCATTTCTTTCCATCTTAGAACAGCAAAATCATAATGCTCAATAGTAACACATAAAATTTCCATAACGTCTCCGGCTGCAAGAAATCTTTGGTGGCCAGGTAAGCCAAGCTAGGTGGAGAATATAGCAAAAAAAATAAAAAAATAAAAAATAATAATAATAATAAAAAAGGTGGAGAATATAGCAAGAACTTCAAAGAATACAAGTATTCCAATGCTAGGCCGGTGCTAGATCCTTGCAAGCTACAAATGGAGGTGCATAGCATCACGCAGGAAGTTAATATATCAAGAAGAATACATAAATGGTTGTTTGATTTGCTAAAATCCTAGTTTTCAAATGATAGTAACTGAATTACTGACATTAACTGTTACCCAAACAGCCCAAAAATCTAAAAAATCATTGGCACGGCAAACTAGCTCTTATGTAACTTATTAACTGGCTCATCTCAAAGAAATTAACATAAAAAGAGCTAGGCTCAGTCGGTTACATCCCTTTTGAATTTTATAGGCAAAGAAAAAGGGAGCTTTAAACATGTAATTATATTATAAAGTTATCTACGCCGAAGAAGCCCGGTACCAACTGTAACAAGTCAACTACTACTGGGAATTCTTTGGCAGATGCCAAATGAAAACCTTTTTGTTTAAGCCTTAAATATCAGGAAGGGAAGATATAATTAAAAATAAGAAAATGGTCAAATTGATCCATTGACTCGTTATGAATGATCAAAATAATCATCAACTATATTAAAAGATCATTTTAGTCCTCAACTTCTTAAAGAGGAATCAAAATAATTCCACCATGGGACTATTTTAGTTCCTTTTAAAGACATGAGAGTTTAAAATGGTCTTTTAATATAGTTGTGGACCATTTTGATCATTTATAAAAAATCAAGAGACCATTTTGATCATTTTTTCAAATAAAAATATTGTTTTTAGAAAAGATCGTCATAAGCTTTGATTTCCCTTTCAGTATAGGACGATTCTGACCCATTCTTAGCCGCTATTGTACCTGGAATAATCTGCTTCTTACTTCTACCAAGTCTGCTCAGAGGTCTTTCTGATCGCACAAGTTTGGAAGTGGAAGAAGATCTAACTCCTATCCTCCAATGTGTCACGGGATCACTTGCCCGAACCACTTGAAGCTGTAATACAAAGACCAAGATAGGAACCTTAAGTGAGAAACCATAAACTTAAGAAAGTTCCAATCAATTTAGAAAATTGGGTTGGGAAATAAGCAAGAAGAAATCCACCCACCACGGATTGATCTTACTCGAGGTTCTTATCTTGGAGGAGAAAGTCAGAGTTCTTTACTACCTTTGTTAGGAGGAAACTACAACTTTGGTCCCTCACTTTAGGGGGTGTTATAGTTCAATTGCCAAACTTACAATTTTAACCTTATTTAGCCCACTGATTTTTTCAATGACCCATATCATCACCAAAACACTCCATTCCATTGTTTCTAAACTCCTCCAAGTGATAGATGTCATTCAATCTAAATCCCACACTTAGATGATCAAATCCTACCATACATTTAGCATAGCCACTTGTCATCAAAATATAAAATATGTAGGGAAATGAAGTTATGGCTTATGTCATAAAAAAAGCATAATGGTAATTTTCCCAATGTATCATTTAAAAATTAATTTCATAATTTCATACATAATGGTGCAATGCTTCATAATATTTTTGATGTAGAACGGAAACGAATTGGCTTTGCTACGGAGAGGATCTCCTCTCCAAAATCTAAAATTCAGCGAGTTGTATGGCTTAGGAAATCCAAACAACAACTATACGAGAGCATTGGACAGCAGTATGAGGATTCTGGCAGCAAGCTACACTAACTTTCCTTTGATGGAATTTCCAGGACAGCAGCAATTTTGAAGCTTCACGGTGCTGGGAAACAAATAAACCTTGCGGAAAATCTCTGGTTGCAATATTAGTAGATGGAGATTTGATTTAGAGGAGGGAAACGTAAATAGGAAAACCTGAAATTGAGTTCAGCCAAGCAAGAACTAGGTTGGGTGGGGGAAATTTGAAATTGATTTCAGATTTTCCGAAATTTAATTGGGACTTTGTAATTTCAAATTTTGAAATTTGAAATTTAGGCTTAGGAGGAAAATTAGGAATTAATGGGGCGTTATTTGGAGCCATGAATTAAGCTCTTAATTAAGGGGAGGAGTAATGAGTGGCCAGCCATGAGGAGAGAGGGAAGATTTGTTTCAATAAGTGGTCCCCCCCCCACGTGAATAAATAAGACTAAATCAAATATGAAATCTGATTTCAAATTTGCTCTAAGAAAAGAATTTCCTAAATGGACTGAAGCATTAGGAAACGTTAGAATTTTAACAATTAATTGATTCTAAGAAAAATGGCAACTTTCTGAAATCTGATTTCAGATTTTTGCTCTCATAAAGAATTTCCTAAATGGTCTAAAGCATTCGGAAACATTGGAATTTCTACAGTTAATTGATTCTAAGAAAAGGGCAACTTTTCTAATAGCTTGGGATGCAAGTTAGGAAAGAAATTGATGCACCTGAAATTGAATTTCAAAATTTTGGAGAAGGTTGGCCGGCGGGTTGGTGTGGGGTGGTGGGGAGTTAATGGAGAAAAGGGGAGAGGCTAGAATTCGGCCGCCAAACGAATTATGGGGAAGAGGAAGAAGATGAAAATGACTACGAAAA